TTTTGTATTTTTTTTCTAATTTTCTTAAACGATTTTTGCTGACGTTTAATGACATTGTTTTCAAATTAAATCGCAAATAGAAATTGCCAACTTCCGTTATTAAAAATCTAGAGTTGCCAACGTTAAGACTATTTGACAAAACAGACTTTTACAAAATTATAAAATGAGCTAATAAAGCTTGTAGAAATATAGGGTGTGTCAGAACTCCCGCCTCAGAGAAAAATTTCAAGTAAGATAAAGTACCACGAACATGGAAAAAAATGTAGTGTGTAAATGCCTGTAGCAAAAAAAAATTGGAAAATTAATTTTCCAACAGAAATAAATGGTCAAAGTGCAAGATTTAAAGTCACATAACTTCAGATAGAATTTTTTAACGTTTTTTCCATGTTCCTGGTGTCTTACCTTATATGGCATTTTTTTCTAGGACGTGAGTTCTGGCGCACCATGGCTTTTAATCCCTTTTTTACAGTTGTTAGTTTCTTAAATAATCTTGAGAGATCATAATAATAAACCTTTTTAAACTTAACATTTGAAAAGACTTTTACACCTTATCATTATTTTTATGACGTTTTTATTTTTAATTTTAGAACTGTGTTTTCGTGTTCAACATATGTAATTACAGTAGTTGCTTCATTAAACATGAATAAAAGTTTTTCAGTTTAATTTAATGCTGAATTTTGAGAAAACACAAGGCAATCAAATAGCACCATTTTCTCAACCCACGCTGTTTAAACCATATAATAGTCGGAATAAAATCTGGTTCAATTTATCAGCTAACACATCGGTCAATTGTAAAAGCCTTCGTAATGATCAAATGGCTACAGTGGCCAGTAGTTGCACGCAAACCCTCCATAATGTAATTGCCCCATTAAGATTCTGGCGTGGGGAAAAAGACGGATTGGACTCCTGTTATGCCACCACTTATTATTGCCGAAATGCTAATCCAACACTATTACTTTTATTCGCTCTCTCTTTCACATGCAACAACATACTAATAAAAAACCCAAACACGCAAACCCCAAAAACGTGAGTTTTATTAAACCGTGAACATAAATTACCCAACAAGAGGGATTTTCATTTTTATTTTATTACAAATTTGTTTTTCTAAAACAAAACGTTATTTTTGTCGTGGAAAGCTCGTAGGCGCGAACAGACTTCGAACCGGTGGTCTTCTTCATAATGCCATGTCCACACCTTCACTTGGGGGCTTATCTAAGCGTCGTCCATGTCTCCACTCAAATCGATTTAAAATTAAACTTGTGTTGAGATAAGGATGAGGACGATTATGTATTCTTCACCTATCTTAATGTTTCTTTATCGAACTGTTTATTTCAATTAAGTATTTTGCGATGTTTTTACGCCCACATTCACCACTCGACTCGATGTTTGTTTTGTCATAAAGTAAATGTTACAGTCGATTGGCATTTAGGTTTTTATTGTGTGTGTGTGGATAACTCACGTGGATGTTTTATGGTCGGGAAGGCGAGATTCGTTGCGGTTTTGGGTTTTTATTTGGTGCCTTTTTAGTGGTATTTTATTCAAAATGAACAAAATGAAAGTCGAACTGGTGGGAAGTGGCCACCAAAAGTTGTTGGGCTTTTTTTATTTTATCATTTTATAAGATATGAATTAATAATTACAGAGTGTACTGCAGGGATGTCTTTGCAATTTTCCTGAGGGGGCCAATAAGCTAATTGATTAGTACGATTAAGTCTTTAAAATTAATATAACAATAATTTTAACACATACACAGTAGAAAATTTTTGTTGTTATTCAGACTGAAATAACACTAAGAATGGTTTGTATAGAGGCCCACACTCTAGAGTGTAATATTTATTAGTGTAAATTATACAGGCTGCGCCAGAACTCGCGCCCCAGAGAAAATTTTCAAGTAAGGTAAGATACCAGGAACATGTTTAAAAAATTCTCTGTCAAAAAATTTTCACATTTATTTTTTGACATTTGACATTTTTTATATCTATTTAATGATACTGATAATCTTGTATATGTTTTTTTACAATTATTTAGTAAAAGGACAAAAATTTGGCCATTAAAAGCCACAAATAACACTGAACAGAGTTACAATTTAGGATACAGCTTCCTTGTTGCCTCTTTTAATAGCCTATAGCAAAATAACTTGGAAAATTATTTTTCCAACAGAAATAAATAGAGTCAAAGTGCAAACTTTAAACCCTCATAACTTCGAAATTTTTATAGATAAAATTTTTTTTTAACATTTTTTCCATGTTGCTCCTATCTTACCTTATATGGCATTTTTCTCACCCTGTAGTATACTTTTAACATCAAAATTAAGTAAGAAACACTATAACTGTGGTAAATTTTATTACAATTATGTCTAAAGCATTAAATTCTAGAGTAGTTATAGTTACTATAAGCATAATGGGGCAAATTTTATGACTAAACCCCCCCCCCCCCTGTAATGACACCTCTGGTTTACTGTTCAACAAGAATTTATTAACATGTTTCAAAAAAGACAAAAGGAAACAACAAATCAGTTTTGTGTACCTAATTATAGATATTTAAAAAATGCATTATCTTACATTTAGTTTGGAATTTAATGATTTTTATTCTATATTTTATTGGAAAATTGTGTGTGTTACGAGTTGTATACCTACTCTCGAATGAGATATATTAATTTGTTTTTTTGATACTTTTAATCTAAATCGTCCGTAAAGTAAATGAAATAGTCTATAAACTTCCTTAAAATTGTCAGTAAACCAGTACTTTTTTTGACTCATATGTCATTAACTGGAATTGTCTGTAAAGTTGACAAAGACTCCGTAAAGTTGATAAGATAGTCCAGATGCATGTTGGTTGTACAATTTTTTAAATGTTTATCCATTTTAATAGTTATTTGTATTACAAGGGAGGAAAGTGTATCTTTTGATCTATTCCTCCTGCAAGTGGAAGTTACTGTCCAAGTATTTATTAAAATATTTATAAGTTTTTGAAAATGTTTTTCAACAGCTTTTGACATTCTTTAAAACATTAGGTCATAATTGACAATTTTTGGATTTAAGGGATTATGTGAGACTTTTTGATTTTATACTTAGTCAAAAAGGTTTTAACAATTTACGAAGTACAATTTGACAATTTTTGAATTTGTGGAAGATTAGCATAAATTACAAACGTTTTAATTTAGATTTTTTATTTTATAAATAAGTTTTAACAATTTCAACAATGTTTAACAATTTTTAAAGTACAATATGACAATTTTTGGAATGTATAAAGTACCTACTATAAGCTTCTAACTATAACTATGTATTTATCAAAAGTGTCAAAAATATTGCATAGATTTTGTCAATTGGACAATTTTGGATTTGACATTTTGACTTTTTTGTCATGTTGATGTTTTTTAAAAATTATCTGACAATTTTTGTCGAGGGCATTAACCACCCAGGTACGAAAAGGCACTTTTTTCTGGTGTAATACATATAATTTTTCCTACGATGCAGCAAAAGAAACTTCAAAAATAACAATTTTTCTTCGCCATTAAATCTAGTAGGATTTATGTTCTTCTGTTTCTAAGGGGGCGGTAAAATTTTTACCTTTCTGGGAGGTAATTTTGACAGATGAGGGAGAAAAAGTTTTACCTCCCTTGGAGGTATTTGGCTACTTCACTTTCTAGAATTAGGGTCGTAGGAAAACATATTAACACACATTGTTATACAGTGCGATCAAAAAGTCTTTCTATCAAGTAGGCGTCCTAGTTGAGGACGTATGTTGCACGGCAGTTCGTATGTTATTTAGATTGTGAAAAAATTATTTTATAAAAATTAAACATTGAGTTAATTAAATTGAATTATTTCATGAAACGTCTCAAAACATCCTAAAATGAGATTTCGTTGGTGTTTATTCATAAAAATCGTTCACCTGTCATAATTTACATAAAAATTATTTTGACATTTCTCATTTGTCATTGTGACATTTTATCTTCCACAGACATACGTTTTAAATTTCTACGCTTGCTTGATAGACAGACTTTTTGATCGCACTGTAGTTTTGATAAATTAAACTTTTGGTGTTATAGTCTTTGTATTTTGGATTAAGTAGTAAATAATTCTGATGACTTTGTAACTTAGAATATTATAAATAAAGTAAAATAGAGAATACAGTTATCAGTTAATTCTTACTATAATATTTGAAACTGTTAATTAATTATTATAATTGATATTTTGACAAGTTTTTGTTATTTCTTTCATTTCACATTGCTATAGTGCGTTTTGTGCATAGGTTTTTAATTTTTCTCTTTCCAAAAACTGTCATAACATCTTTTTAGTAAAATTATTACAAATGATCACGTTTTGATTTAGACTCACGGTACTTTAGTCACCAAAAAAATTGATAAAATAAATAAACAAATTATTTTGTCGGTGTTTGAAATGTTAAGAGTAAGAGGAAATCTGTTTCTTTGTTAAAAATATTTCTTAAATTTGTGTTAATTGGTTTTTGGTTGAAATTTCTAAATCTTCTTAATATACAGCGGTTACCCCACCCTTGTACCACTTTGGACATGTTGAAGCCGTTAACCTTTCCTCCTCCACTCCCCTGTTTTCCGTCTCATAAAGAAAAAAATCTGTAGGAATGAAAAATACATCTCGGGGTGAAATGTTTCATGCGGCGGAAACGTGAGTCGCATTGAATTTCGCAAAGTGGCTAAGTTTGTTGGGTTTGGGCGACCTTATGCCCGGGTTCTCCCAAGGGACCCCTAAACATTCTCCCGTTTCGACGTTTCGCTCCTTTTAACCATCCATTTCGTCAAATTACTAAAGTCGGGATTGGCAGCAAAGGCGTCCTGACGCTTTTTCCTGATTGGTCGCAGCTTCCGGTGTCTGCTGAACCCCACCCGGGCGGCGTCGGCGTCGCGACGCCTGAAACAATGGCCGAGATCAATTTCAGGACACATATGATGACTCGCTTTCGATCGATAGCTCGCTTAGGGTTTTTTTTTTCTAAAATTTCGCTGTTTTACATTTCAGGTCAGACGGGAGAAGATTCAATAAACTCGTCAAAGAGCTCGAACGGTGCAATAAATAAAAAACAAAGAAAAGCACGGACGGCGTTTACCGACTTGCAACTACAAACGTTAGAGAAAAGCTTTGAACGGCAGAAATACCTAAGCGTTCAAGACAGGATGGAGTTAGCAGCGAAATTGAGTCTTACGGATACGCAAGTGAAGACGTGGTATCAAAACAGGAGGTAAGTTTTCACTGCAAATAACGATTTATTATTTAAATTACATACGAGTAATGAAAAGCTGGCTGTTGGGATAAATAATGTAATCATTCTACGAGATGTCATAGATTAATGGAATTTATGCTGATTCTTTATGTAGTCATGCAAGAAATCTCTTGTTTATGCAGGAATTGCTTCGTATACTGTGCCTGAATTAGAGCGATTTTAATTGCAAATTAACATTAATTAATTGACTGGACGAGCCGATACCAATCAAAATATGACACATTCATTGGCAGCGATTTTGTGCTTGTCAATTCGAGCATCGTTTATTATTAAACACTACAAACTACAAGCTCTATATAGGGTGAATCAAGCCAAATCGCCGGTATTTCAAAATCTAAAATACTTGATTATTTGGAGCAGGGGCGGACTGGCCAGGGGTGCCGGGGTGCCACAGCACCCCGGGCCCTCGAGTCTTACGGGCCCCCAATTATGGTACACTTATTATGTCAAGAGCTCATTGAAATAATATCAATAATTTTAAATTTGCAAATAAACTTTCCACAATGCACTAAAAGGTTATAATTTGATATTGCATAGAGCTAACGCGTTTTTCACAGAAGCTAAAAGTGTTTAGTTTAAAGGAATTAAAAAATTGCCATCACAACAAATAAAACTATAATTTCTATAATTTCAATGATTTTAGCTCAATTTTGTTTATAAGGTCTTACACGCATGTAAGAAAAATTCCGCGTGGATTTATACAAGTGATTCAAGAATTTGTGTCATAATTTTAATCACGAATACTCCTCTACAAATGAACATAGATAGCATAGTACTTATTAATCCAACTCATCCAGCAATAGAAAAATTACAGCTTTTCTAATCATCAAGAAATAAACAAATGTTCCTTTAGATTTAATGAAATTTACATTAAATATGACAGCATTGACAGCGATGTCATTCGTAGTGGATTGTTTCCAAGGTACGCTCAAAATTTATAAATTCTAATTTTGCAGCGCGGTGTAGAATTAAGTTTAAACTCAAACAACTCTAGAACGGTACATTTTGGCGATATGAAACTACCTTTTTTATAAAAAAATGGTTGGGCTGCATCAAAAACAGAAATTAATAAGCCGAAAAAAAGTTATGATTCCAAAACTGGGAGGACCCATTGCTACCGGAAATGGATAGCTTCTACAAGGCTTCCGTTTACACCAAATCAAAGAGTGTCTTTTTGTCCTTTAACATGCAAAATTTAATAATAATCGGATAAACGGAAACAAAAATATTTCCAGAAAATAATTTTTTCATAAAGATTTTTGGAAAGTTGTAATTTTTTTGAGGTGGGTCAATAAATACTGAACTATCTATTCTCAATTGTAGAAGGGTATTCGTAATTAAAATTATGCCACACATTTTGTAATCAACCGATATAAAATATCATTTTTACTTAATTTAATTTAATTTTAATTTTTTTTTTAATTATTAGTGGGCAAGAATAATGGAAAAATCTAGTATAAATTTGGTGCACAGAAACGAAAAGAAAAACAAAAATTAAAATTACAAGCAGCCTCTGAAGACGTTCATCTAAAAACTTTATTTTCGTTTATTAAACCATCATGATTTCAACTGACGTCACAATCTCAATAGAGAAAACAAACTCCTTCAAAAAAATTTACTACATTAAGTGACTTATCACTTAAACTTAAACTACTTATACTTTTTATACATATTTTTATTGTATTGTATATTGGGCCCTCATTTCAAGTTAGCACTCCATATAAAAATTTGCCAGTCCGCCCCTGATTTAGAGTGATGTAGAAAAATTAATTATTACACTGAATTAAAAAAACATGATGGAAAACTAAAGATTACAGATAAGTTTTTTGTTTAATATTTGTTTAATTAATAAATCAAAATGTTTAAAACACAAGTGTCTAAGCATTTACCTATACAAAAAATCTAAACAAAAAACTTTATTGATGATGTAAACAAACTAAATTACTAAAGGAAACAGAAAAAAACATAAATAAGAGAGTAAAAAAGTGAGTTGAGAAGTGTGATCACTTGATCAGTGAAGAAGAAAAATAACCGATAAAATTATGTAAATGATATCTAGAACAGAGAAAAAACCAATAATAATTCAAATATACAAATTAAAAAAAAAATACATTTTTGTAACAAAATTACAATAAATTAAATATTAATTAAATAAATGGCAATAAATTTAAAAAAGTAAAACAATTGTGTTAAAAAAAGAAAAAAGTGTAATAGATCAAAAACAAAGAAGAAAGAAACACAAACAATAAAAAATGCAAAATACGTGTGGAAAAGAGAAAAACAAATAATAATCCAACAAAAAAATACAAATTATAAAAACAATACTTTTATTATAATAATGGGTGTTTTTTTTTAATCTGGCGTTTTAGTTAGTGGTGACTATGAGATTGTTATGAACGGACCATAATTTTTAATACGCTCAACGAGGTGTCAAATGTCAGATGGTTTGTTCACAATTAAGCTTTCAGGGCTAGTTTTCACACCAAATTTAATCATCTAAATGCTATGCTAAAATATTAAAATTACTCTAAATTAATAAAGAAGAAAGTTAGCAAAAATGGACTAAAAGAGAAAAAATATGAGGAAGAGTAAAAGAGAAGATTGAACAGTGAGAAAGAAAAACAAACAATAAAAAATGCAAAAATATGTCGAACTGGGAAAATATAAATAATAATTTAACAAAATTAACAAAAAAATAGTTGCGAAGCTCGTTTTCAATAAAAAATGCAAAGTAAATTAATAGACAAAACTCACATAAGAAGAAAAATGTGAGAATAGCTAATGCTGTTTCTTTTTATTCAAATATACCGTTTTGTTCTTTTTTCAAACTTTAAAACTCAGTATAATACCTACTTTGTCATTTTTACGATCACTTAGAAAAACACTAAAGAACATACAAACAATAAAAGATCAAAAAAATATGTAACACAAAGAAAAAACAAATTCTAATGCAATACAACTAGGAAAAAAGTAGATTGCTATAAATTTATATTGATTAATCAAATTTCTACACAACTTTCAACTAAAATTTATCAAAAATGTAATTTTAGTAAATACCAAAATTTGTTTATTATTTTTAAGTCTTTTTGTATTGATCTTTTATTACTATCTTTTAGAATTTAAAAGTATTTTGTCATTTTTGCATGATTATCTTGATTTGCATTTAATGCTCTCGGCATTTAAGTGCGGCATTGCAGAAAAAAATATTTGAATGCGGCAGATGACAATTTGACAACTAAATTGACAAGGGCAAAACCTAATTCATTTTAAAGAAAATTCAATTTTCCGTTTTTATTGCAATCAACTGAACTTCTCGTTTAATTTAAAAAAAATAATTAATACCTGCTATAGAATTATAGAAAACTTTGTGATTTTTGTAATAAAATTACGTTATTTAAGTATCCAGACAAAACTGTTTAGTTTCCTGTATCATTTGTATGGGGATTAAAATGAGGTGCAAAACTATATTACAAGGTTGGTGAGAATTTATTGACAAATGATTGTTATTCTCTCACTTAGTTTTTCAAATAAATACTAAATTTTTATGTAGTTACAATAGAACCTCAGGTATCAGGGTACCGGTTCTCTTGATAATTCGTCTGGTTCTGCGTTTACTGCAACTGCAACCAATTATTTCGAATTGTTTTTTTTTTTTTGACTTATGATGAACATAAAAAGGAGATTTATAACAGTCTCAAAAATTAAAAAATTGAACTCATCAAAATACATTTTCAAAAAGGTATCAAAATTCGAGATATGTATACAGTATGATGAAAAAAAGGCGCCCGTGTTACCGCACACGTTATAAGTGATCTTTTATTAAAGACGAATTCGAAGACCAAAATTGGATTTGTGCTCTTATCAGTAAGATATAGACTTTCCTTTTTAGAAAAGAGAAATCTAAATAATTAACAGTTTTAAAATAATTTCATTGTTAAAGTCTAGATTTTGATACAGTTGACGGTGTTCTTAAAAAAATGTGTAAAAAGTCTATTGAAATAAACTTTATTGAAGATGTTAGGATACCATTTCTTGGCTCCAAAGAAAATTTATCAATGTTGCAACATTGCAAATATCCTAGGATACAGAAAATGTCCAAGTAATATTCAATTATTGCAAACGGTAACAAAAAAATCAATTTTCAATGTTGTTTGTTCTGTGAAATTTGAAAAATTAAAGTCAAAAAGTCAAAGATTAAAAAAATTAATTGAAATCAGATACCTTTTGGTCGTATCGTATTGGAATAATAAAATTATGTAAACTTAACAGTTTTTTATTTTATGTGGGTGACAATATCTTTCCTAGATATGAAAAATACCTGAGTGAAATAGTTTTTTAGTAAAAGAAAATTGTGCAATATTGCCGCTTTGTGCTGTTAGACAAACTGTTTAAATTTTAAAAAGAATCTATTTAGACTATTTTTGGAATGTGGGCACAATGTTTCAATAAAAAAGGACGCGCCTATTTCAATCGTGGGCGCCTTTTTTTCATCACCCTGTATATCTTGAGCCTTGTGCCGGATAATGAGGTTGCACTGTAAATTACTAAATCACTTCTAAAAGCACCATTGTTTTCTATCCTTTTCGAACCAGCCAACCAGATTAGTAAAACTCGCCGCATTGCAGCAGGAAATATCCAAAGATACTCGTATAACCACCAAACGGCGGCCAATTTACGAAGCGTCATGCTACATGAAACCGCACACAATTTTCTCGATATTTATGCCGCCTCCCAAATCTATTATTTGCAAAACATTATGGCCGTTGTTGGAGTAATTATTGTTTGAATTAAAGGTGTAGCTCTCGAGGGGTGGACTTGGATGTGAGTTACGACGCCTTCATGCAAATCGGCTGCTTTAATTAGCCCAAGAAGTCACATGTTTTCAAAAATAAAACATACTTTACTTTTCAGCAATTAATATCCATCATCAGCTTAAAATTTTGAAAAAATTACATTTT